CTGACTCTGAATGCTGATGTTAAGAGGCTTCCCAATCATTTCTGTGGGAAAAAGGAAACGCTAAACTGTGTACAGCATTTATTTTTAAAAATTTTTCCCCTTGTTTTAAAAAAGACAAATATGTTACTAAAAAAAATCCCTTGGCCAGATCTCAAGCACTCTAAAGTGGTATTCCATGATCAATCTAGTCATACCTCTGCCTGTACAAACATCCTCATTTCTTGCCTACAAAACTCAGAATCTGTTGCTAACTATAGCCAAAGTCTAGTTTTCATAAAATTGTGCAGCCGAAGGAATGGAGCATGAATCTACCTCCAAGACTGAGTATGCACTTCACACTGCACTGGAAGCTAGTATTCTGCTAGCTTCAGGCCATGCTACCTGCCTAACATCAGTCAGCTTTGTGCATCAGCAGCTGATGCACAATCAGCTGCCAATCATATCCAAGTTGTCTCCTTTAAAGTTAGTTTGATGTTTGGTTCTCACCATTTAGTAGAGAAGGGTAATTAATTGCATAAAAATATCCAAGTCCATGTCAGAGCCAAGTCAAACAAGCTAGCCTTTAAAGCAGTTAAAAACAATTCAACTTAACCTGAAATAGGCTAAATATTTGGTTATTTTAGAGATGGCTCAAATTCCTAGGTACCTAGGAACCTAGTACCATGTACCTAGTACCATATGGTACCTAAAAGAATGGATGGTTGTGCTAACAAGTCAAATGAGATTCAAAAAATGCTTAGTAGGCATTGTATGCCATCAGCTTGGGATACACTACATTGCTTCACAGGGTATCTACGCAGTTGTGAAACAGAACATGTGGACCGCAGGAACAATTCAACAAGGAAGGGTATAAGGTTGCAAAAAGGACTTCAGTCTCATTAGCACATTAGCTAGCGCAAGATGCAGTCCCATATTCACATGAGGTAGTTTTAGATATACGACCAAAGAGCAGCCTTATTTTATCTTTTATTTTTTATTTTTTAAAGAAATTAAGGTTATATGCTCTCCTGGACCAGATCTTTTACTCCATAAAAACAAAAAAAACCAAGTAAACCCAAACCCAACGCAACCATCTTCATACAATTCTCAAAAGCAGTAGAAAGCACCACAAAAGCAGTTTCAGGCCCATATTTTCATCCCAAGACACTGTAATTTAATTAAAAAATGTATCTGTCGATATTGGAGTATGTTGTAACATAGAGCACCTATCAGCTCAGCGTTCTCACAGACTAAAACACTGAACTCCATGTTCTGAGACCACAGAACGACAGGGACCATCATTTCAGTAGACTGAGGATAACTGCAGTCTTCTTAAAGTACTACATTTAATACTGGTGTTTTACAGTGTTTCTGTTGGAAGTCTACATTCACACATTGTAGAGTAACACTGTTCATGTTAAAATAGAGCTAGTCATACCGTAACAGAGATAAGCAAAGATCCCCAAGAAATTGGTCATTCATTACTTGCAGTTAAAATATATTTTGCTTAGCCTCAGGCAAAGCTGAAGGCAGTTTGTGCACTAATAAGCTATTATTAGTTGCCATTAACATTGACAACAGTAATTTAAATGGGAACGTTGGTGTTTCACACAATCTGTTCAATGCTTCCAAAACAACCAGAGTGTGTTTAAATAGTGATTATTTCAGAGCTGGTCTATGTGCCTATGAAGGAAAATAGTCCTCAAGTAAATTCTCAAATGTGGCTACACAGAATACATAATCAAGTTCATTATGTTGTAAATAAATTCAAGAGGAAACACGCATCCTCCATGAACTACCTAAGACTAAGAACGTACTATAAGCTATATAGGCCAAAGTCTAAAAACTAGAATTTTTGGACCCAGTACTTAAAATTCTCTAGTAGTCTTAAATACTGATATTCTGTTCTAAGTGTACCAGGTACACACTTCTAAGTAACTTTGTTTTTCTACATTAGAATATGCCTTTTCATAGGAGCAGACAGTGTATGGAGCAGGCACTTACCCAGAACACTGACACAACAGGTTTGACAGAGAGTAGAAAAAACAGAGTGAAAAAGTCCCTCATGATCATCCATTCACTTTTATAGCTGTGGGGACAGTGCCGATTTCAGTTACACCCGCTCAAACCACTAGTATCACAAAGATTATGGGCTTTAAGTAAAAGTTATGCTTCATCTGCTCATGTATTTGTTCTAACGACCTAAGTACACACCATTGACATTCAGTCTCTGGAATAAGAAAACATGCTTGATAACCTCAAGTAGAAAATACAGCTCAAGGCAGTATGCGTTAATTTTTGCCTTACCTGGAATAATTTCTATTTAGTCAATCTTCAGATTACGTCTACATGGTAAAAACTATAATATAGCTTAGATATATGCAAACTACCCTTCAGTTAGCTTATTCTAGCACTTGAAGCACTCAGACCATACAAGAATTCATTCAGTCCATGCTACCTGCCTACATCAGTCAGCTTTGTGCATCAGCAGCTGAAAGCCAGGCTGCCAATCGTATCCAAGTTGTCTCCCTTAAAGTTAGTTTGATGTTTGCACTAAACAGTACTGCAGATACAGATATATCCTATGGCAGGTAAACTCCTGCTAGAGCTTTGAATGAACATATGAAAAACTCAAGGAATATCTTAACAGCACGAAATTTGCAAAAATAGATTTGTTACACATCAAAAAAACCCCCCAAAACATGACAAACATCCCCCAAAACATGTTTACCAGAGTCCACCCATTTGATTCTCCTAATATCATCACAGAAAAGCTATTCTGGTTTTGTAGCAGAAGGCTGGGCATATAGAGAGAAAGAAAAACTAGACCTTTTCACAATGCAGAAAGAAATAGCAATTTGTTTTCTCAAACAATGCAACAACTGTATCTTTCTCACTAATTTCACTCCAGTTTCAAACAATTGTTTTCACATGCCATGTGGACAGCCCTTGTAAAGGTGGAATTTCTAAATAACTCGTTTTACTTGAACGGCACAGTATCCAGAAATCAGAATTTCACGAGTGTCCAGTGACTGACCTAATGTACTCGCCCGTTTTCCACACAAGTTACTGCCTGGTACCACGGCACAGAGATTACAGAGATTACAAAGAAGCAAACGTTAAAGCCAGGAGCAGGAGCACTACTCTGTTCCGTTCTGGACTACCCAAGAAATTCGTTTAGGCTGATTAAAATTATTCTCTAAGACTAAAGATTTAGAAGAAACCACTCCATTCTCTACTGGGAAAGCCCGATGATTACATCTCGCCATCTTAACACTTAACCCATGGCTCCTGCAATGCAGGAGAGTGAAGGTAAATATAGCTCTTCCTCTACTACCTATCGTAATTTTCACCTAGAGCAAGTTAACTCATCTTATTTAGCGCAACTTGTACAGCCAGCAGAGATCACGAATTCCCAGCCGCATCACCCTATTCCAACTTGAAATCTGTAACTCCATTACACGCTAATCATCTTCCACGTGTCAGCTTCCCAGCACCTGAAGACAAACAGACCTGTGTTTCTTAGTCTGAATGGTTCAAGCATGCACGCTCCTTTGCCAGGCAGCATTCCCAGGCGGCACTCCCTTCACGGCTTCCTCACAGTTAAGGGCCAACAAATTCCAGGAAGACCAGATGCAATTCCTCCAATCACCATCTAAAACCAAAATGTCTTAAAAAACCAAACAAAACAAAACAAAAAAAATCTATGCAATAGCACTTTACAGGAGATGGTCTCTAAACTAAGAGAATTTGGTAAAAGTAGGAAGCTAGAAAGCAGGCAACCGTTGCTCTTCACACAGCGGACAGCACCTTAAAATAACCGATTCTGACAGCCTGATACCATGTGACTGCACAGAAAGCTTAATGCTCAAATTAAGATTTCATTAAAAAGGAGCTGTGCACTAAAATCACTTTCTCTTTTTTTCCTTCTAATTTCTTTTTTGAACTCCTGCAGATAACGTAGTGTCTTCGACTCTATACTGGACATAATTATAGGCAGTGATAAACACGTAGCCCAAATTATAATTATATTACCAGTATCCCACTTGACTTAAATTCGAACGTTTATTATAGCTATAGAAAAGACATTAATAATTGAACTCTTGCATGTTATGTACTAAATACACGTACAGATGTACTAAAATATACCACTGTCAACACTTAATCCACATGTGCCATTTTCACTGTTTCCCCGATCTCCTCTTAACCACTTCAACTTGTTTAACTGCCTTTAGAACTGCCCTAACATGCAGCTAGCTGTTCAACACAGAAATTAAGAAACAAGCTGAACTTGTTGATATCAACATGATAAACTTGTTTACTTACTCTATATTCTTTAAGGAAATATTTTGAGCAGATTTTCATTATTTTCAGCTTGACGCATTGAGACTAATAATAATTCCAATTTTTTCCCCTCTGTTACGCAATTAAAAACACATCAGAAGAAATCAGAACAATCAGAAGAAATACCGGAACAGAATCAATAATTAAAAAAAACATCTAAGCTGAAATCCCACCTTCCACGCACAAAGAAACACAGAAATGTGTTTTGAGCATAGTCCTAAAGTCGTAGCCCAAAATGACAGGTGAAGATAGTATTCAGGACTCCAAGTAGTCTCTTTGAAGTCACCTGACAGCAGAGTCTTAAAGCTACGCTTAGAAGCCAGCAAGTACAGGAGGGATGGTATACAAAATATATAGGATATAAATGTGTAAATATGAATTTATTTAGAACCTAAGCTACAGGCCATTAAATTCAATTGATAAACTTCCTATTGTGTAAAGACTGGAAAGTAGTTGGTCTCTAGAAGAATAACACATTTTAACAAAACCACTGTCTCATTTTTTGTCTCAGTGAAAGACAAGTCTAAGTTTACGCTGTAAACACAATACAATACAAGTATCAAATAACCTTTTTACCTTTCATATAATATAGAGAGCTCAGGAGGAAGAAAGAAAAAAAGAAAACAAAAATAAACGGGAAGAAAAGTTCAAATTCAGTACTACTTCTATTTTAGTACAGTAGATGCGTTTCTTCATTACCATTCTCCCCGTCAGACTTCCTTTCGTGGTCAGTGTCAGTCAGGGACAAGGCGGAGTTTGCCCGGCTGGACAAGCAGGAGCTGTGCTCCGATTTCATCCCCCTCATCCACATGCGCAGGGCATGGTCCGGCGAGGCGCCGCCTTCCGTCTCAGTGTCGCCGTCGGAGCCCACCTCCAGCGGGTAGCTGTGCTCAGACACACCGCGCACGTCGCCCTGGTAGCCCGAGCACAGGATGCGGGGAGGCTCGCAGAACTCCATGTCTGGCGGGGGGGGAAAAAAAGCAGAAAGATTTAGAAGAGAACAGCGATATTCATTTGATTTTTTTCTGGAGAGTCTGTTTTGAGAATTAACACTGTTAATCCTATTGGACAGATGACTTGGTCAATGACTCATGCTGCCATCTAATCTGCTCTGAATATAATCAAATCTAAAAGAGTGCAATTCTAAAATACAGAATACTCCACTGTAATTGTGCCTTTTTATCTGATAGATATGTATATTATAGCTCAAATATGTGTATTCACACATACACCCATGTAGATAGTACACATTGATTTACAACTGAACTGAGTCAATATCAAAGACTTAGAAAGACAGTTAAATGCCTTTTTTTCCCCCTCCGCCATGAAGGAAACACTTTAAAATTAATCTCACATATCAGAAACCTCCTCAGTATTTCTTACCATAGGGCAAATGAATTCAGTATTTGCAAATAGGGAATTCACAAAATTCTGTTTGAAATTTTCAGCTAAACACAGAAGAAAGGCTACTCACCAGGGAGGCCTTCTGAGAGGGCTGTCCTTGCATATTCACACCAGGGCTTCTGGCTCTCCAGTGGTGGTGAACTACAGGAACTTCCCCGAAGAGCAGCGGCTACCAGGACTGTACAAGTGCCCTCTCACGGCACCAAGCAACCAGAGATTTAGAGAGTTGTACAGTGCTCAACACATCCGTTACTCTCATTAAACACCACAGCTGTAGGGCAGCAGAACTCCAAGGGAAAACAGAAGGTGGACAGGAACCGTAATGTGAATATGCGGAGGAAACAGTCTCGCAGAACTCCAGGTAAGTAACGCACGTTAGCGACCTCCAGCTTCCCTCTGAGGTAGCCTCTGCACATTCTCACTTGTGAGAATCCAATTACAAGTGCAGCTCCCAGGGAGCACGACAAGGAGCTCTAATTAAATAAGGATTACGGAGCCGTACTCCCTAATTGAACAGCAGACCTGGGATGGCGTCTTGAGAGACTAAATGCAATCTCAAACACGCATACAGTTTTTTTTTTTCAATTTCTAGAAAAGAAACATTAGGGACAAGGGCCACCGATAGAGAAGGAGGCCAAATACTCTCTTTTACTGTCATCCTAACTAAAGCCTTAATTTGCCAAACTAATCCACTTACCAGCCAGTGAGAGGAATGGTTCTCATTTTAAGCACGCTCTGAGGCAACAAAAAGCCCTGGTCTCCTGAAGGTCCTGACCAAAATCTACAGATCTCATGCTAAGCTATCATACACTGAGGCTGCTCAATTTTTACCTCATCTCCCTGTATATCTTTACTTCACTGTCCTGAAGGTCTTTGCTGCAGTGATACCCCACAAGAGCTGGCTCGGCACTCAGGCAAATTACTTTGCTATGGCAGCATGTTTTCGGGAGAGCATGGGGAACGGGAGGGCGGGGAACAAAAGGAAGTGGCCACGGCCTTACTTCCCTACGCAAGGGTCCTGCAGGTCCATCGTGGCCCCACGGCTGAGGAGGCAGTAGTGTTCCTGCTGGGGCTGGCCTGTGCCAGCAGCACCAGCGGTCGCTGCCCTGCTCCTCTGCTGGCTGCCAGGCTTTCTCCAGAGGCCTCCCTCACTGTTCTCCCCCCTTCTCTGCCCTGGGCTCACAGGAGGAAGACTTGGTCCCAGCCTTACACTCGTGAAGCTCAGAAGGACGTTGCCTTTCCTAGCTCTGCTCTCCAAGCCTCCCAAACGCCTCGAGGGGGACTCTGAGGCTTGACGGAGATGGTTCGGAGAAAGCCGTGCAGATGGGCGGGAAGGAGCTGCACAGCTCAGGCAGTAGGGGCAGCGCCTGGCATTCAAGCACTTAGCACTCACACAAGGCTTTCACCTATCGCTACAGCGCAGTGCTTCTTCCTGTTGTCTGGGGCCAATGGCAGAAGAAGGTAACAAGGCAGGAGGGTGGACGTATATGGAAGCTGGGGGTTGTGACTGGCCACTACCGGTTCTCCATCCTATACAGATGCTCACAAGAGAAATCTTCAACCCTACTAGGACCCGCTGGAAAAAAATCCCATTTCTGTCCTTCTCCTATGGCAAGGATGGTAAACACAAAACATCTAGTCTCCAGAAAAGCCCTGTTTTTCTGAGATTGTCAAAGCTCGTTGGGTACTGGAGACACAAACACAGAGGCGATCTCACAAAACACTACTGGATGTAACTAAACATAGTGTTGTTCATATTGTGCCTTATTTCAGTTTCATTTTAATTATGTATTATATACACAACAAGCGAGCTCTTCTTGGTTTAATTAGACAACACGGGCCAAATCTTTGTATGACATGAACACTGCAGATATTGATGCTGAACGCTCAACCATCATTAACTGCACCACCCTCCTAGCTTCTACTTTCCTTTCACAACGCAAAGTGAATACAAACCATCTTTATACAAAATATTAACTCAAATGGTACATGCCAATTTTTACTCTTCTTGACTAAATTAAAAAAAAAAGAAAGACTTACACATAAGCCAACAATTAAAAAGCCAGCAACAATGGTAGGTTCTTAACACAGAGCCCTGTATCAATGAAATAAAGACTGAATCAGATAAACAGGCTCATTCTATTCCACCCGGAAAGATTATATTGTGCGTTTAAAGGGAGGCTGTGGATGTTACTAATTCACCATACATTATCCACTAACAAAAACAGTAAGTAAATGCTTTCTTGGGAAAGAGCTGATTAAAAGCTCTGCTTAAATGAAATGAACTGTTATAAAAAACTGATAAGAGCTTCACTTTGCGTACTACACCTGAGCTTTGAAAAAAAAGGTGAAAGCCAAATCTTGTTGGCAAGTAGCTCACAACCAGCAATGCTACTACCTCTTGTCATATGCAGGGATAAAGTCCAGAATGGTCACTAGAGCAAATAGTTATGATGGTTAACACATGCTTTAGCAGATGTCATGAGCAGAGGGAATAAATGAGTATTGCCATTTAAAGAAATATATTATCAAAGAAAATTGAGATTTATCTGCTAAAACCACTAAAATTCAGGGAAAGCAAATTAGGCTCATCTATTTGGCGAGCTGTATTAAAAACACTAGCAGGTATAAGTGCTGGAGGGTACTTCCAAAGAATGGTAGTTCACTGAAGTACATTAAGAAAAAAACATATGGAAAAACCATTATTTCCTCATGAAATAGAAGAGATCCAACAGAATTCATCACTAGCCTTGATAATGGTCTCAGTTTTGATTAAAACAGGCATGCTCTAAGAGAATAATTGCACTGATTTTTGGATTGCACCCTCATAACAGTTGAGACTATTGCTCAGCTTGGAGCAAGAGGACGCACCTACTTCGTAATGGCTGATTCTCTGCTCCTGCACATGCAAAAGAAGCAAGGCCAGTTTGCTGCTGGAAAGTCCAGAAAACCCCTTACGTCTCATCCCATAATACAGAAACAACCTGCCATGAGCCTGTCCCATAACCTTTTTCTCGTTGTTTGTTCTCTCAAAAAACAGTTTTATTCCTACGTTCAAACCCAAACCAAATTTGTGTGAAGTACTATGGCAACGGAAGGTTCCTGGATTCTTTCTTCTTCCGTCAACTAAAACACGCCCTGTGATCTCAAGAGCCACTTTGCACCCCTCCTTTCCCTTCGACGCAGATTTTGACTTCTCACAGGGAGATAAGGAGCCCTCCCGTAATTACAAGCGGTGCAGTAACCTCATGAGCCCCGCGGCCAACATCAGGCCCCCAAGGAGCGAGGACGCGGGCCCTTTCCCCTCCTGCCGTCTGCTCCAGGCAGCCTGTCTGCCACCAGCAGCCTGCAGCCCGGCTTCTGCCTGTGTGCAATTGTGTAAGTCAACGGGAAAATTCATCCAAGTAAATCTCACAAATGCTAATTAGATTACACATGTTTACAAAGCACAGAATTTACCCTTTGGTCTGTATGTTAATTCAAAATGTAGCTGCTAGCATATTCAGTATTTTAGCTATTTTTTTTCTGGTGGAGCAGAAGAAATTGACTTCTTTATACTGTTGCTCATATTCAACTGACATCCAACACAATGCATTCCCTTAATAGTCTATTTCTTAAGTATACAAGCCTTTGTAGTATTTTAACTCCCACAGGATGCATTTTCTGAAAAGCACTTGAGAGTGCCAAAAGTGGCTCCTTTTAGTCTGCATATCTAACCTTGTTACCTAAAATACTACTTATTTCCACAAGGAGATAAAGTTCAAGTGGATTTATCATAGATTTAGTCTTACCAAAAAGACACGCTCAGAAGAAGAATGAGAGAATATTAATATGAAATTCAAGTTTTTGCATAAACTATGGGCAGAGAAAAAAAAAAAGGTTGCAGTTAAGAATTTATATGGAAGATCACGATAGGATTTTACCCCTGGGACCTTGTGGAATATTAGCCCATTACAAGTTAAAGGTTAAAAACAAGTATTTCATCCCGCACTTTTGTTAAAAAATTAAAATCAAAGTAGCGTGGGAAGGAACGTAAATATTTTATGCTATCAGGAAATGGAAAGAGGGCTGCGTTCAATAATAATAATACTAATAAAAAAGCCAGCATTTCAATTAACAGATCCTTTCTTTCTGCCCTCATGCAAGGTGTTTTTTTCCTGAACAAAACCTGCACAGAGGAGCAACTGAAGAGAGGTTTTACTCCTGGACAACAGCGCCTTTGCTACTCTTTAAGCCGCTCTTGGTGCTATGAGAGCTAGGCAGCGGCCAGGCAGCCCCCGTGACACTGCTCCCACACCGCTCACTTCCCCAGATTGCTCCCGAGAGCTTTTGCCTTCTCTCTACCTGCAGGCACCTTCAGCAAGCGCTCGGGCACTTCCTGCAGCATCAGCTTAGCTACCGGTTTAGGTAACAGCCTACAATTTGGATTTTCACTTTTATGTAAAGCGTTTATCTCAGGGCATCTCCAGGACTATTTCACTGACCTCTGAAAGGTCAGGGGTGTCTGTGTGTCAGCTCACTTTGGGCACCTCTGTTCAGTCTTTCCAACAGCAAAA